CTCTGGCTGTTTGTCCCAAGCAGGAATATGGGCCCACATCAAAGTCAAAGGGAGTATATGTGGTAGGCGCCCTGGGAATAGGGCAAACTCTTAAGAGAGCAATTGGGAGGAGAAGGACCCAGTCAATGTGAAGGGGGAATGTGAGTTTAGTAAGATGGGCTGTCAGTAAACTGTTGGCTATTTCTACTTTACCCAAGGACTGAGGTCAGTAGGGAACATGTAAATTCCACTGGATTCCCAGCCACTCAAACAACTCTTGGGTAATTAGACTAATAAAATCTGGGGCTTTATCTCATTCAGTGGAAGAGGGGAAGCTAAAGGAGGAGATCATTTCAGTTAAGAGAAAGTAATGGCTACTGAGGCTCTTTCTGAACTGGTAGGAAACCATCTACCCCCCCAGTGAGGGTGTGGACCCAGACTAAAACATTTTACCTTTCACCCACATAGCACGTAAGTGAGTAATCTGCCATTCCTGAGTAGGGGAGAAACCTCACCCATGGTAGTTCTGCCACAGCTGAAGCACAGAGGAGGGTAGGTGGGAAGGAAGCAGGAAAGGGCAAAGTTTCGGCCTTCTGTAGCATGCTGGGAGCGATTACTTTCTTCCTTTGTCATTTGATCTGCAAAGGCAGTTCTAATGGCCATCTTTGGAGTCAAAGTCCTAACTGATATATTGAAGGCCTTCTATGAACCCTTGTGGGTGGAAGGTTCAGGTCAGTTCTTGCAAATGGTGGAGTGTCAGGGTCTGTCCTGGTATAGGTGAAGAGAGGCTGTGAGGTGGGATGTAAAGGAAGTGTAACGAAAATGTCCTTCAAATCTAGGACTGAGTAGTAGGCAGTAAATGGGGGGACAGAAGACAAAGGTTGTATGGACTGAGCACTAGAGATAAGGACTATTTGACTAATAATGCAGAGGTCCTGGACCAATCCATATGTGCCATCTGTCTTTGGAACAGGGAGAAAAGGAGTACTCTATGGAAAATTGCTAGGTACTAGAAGATTGTGTTTGAACAGGTGAGAAATAGTTGGCTTTAGTCCTCTGAGAGCCTGACTGGGGACAGGGAGTTGAGACAGAAAGACAGAGGTGGTCTTGCTTTAGTGGGGTCATGAGAGGGGCTTGACTGAGAGCCAGGCAAAGGGAGGAGGTACCCAGACCCTAGGGTTTAGATCTGGGGAGGCAATGGGCTCTTTGTCAATGTTAGAGATGGAGAGAAGAGAGCAGTGAGGATAGCAGGACAGGCTGGGAATAGTGAAGTCACAGATATTTGGCTAGGACATCTCCTCCAAGGAGCAGGTGGGGCAGGTGAGAACAGTTAGAAAGGAGTAGAGGAAAATTTATGGACCTAACTGGCTCCAAAGTAGAGGAGATTTAAAAGGCCTGGAGAGTTTGGCATCAATACACACAACACAAGCTGAGGCCCTAAAAAAAGGCAAGGTGGAGTGGGTTGCCCTGTTCTCCATCATAGAATGTGTGATCTTCCCCTCTACCTCAAGTTTCTTAAAGCTCAGCATCTGAGATGGTGCAGGGGGCTCCAGAGTTTGGGAAAGTGTCAGTCCTCCCTCACCAGTCTGAGGACTTCGGGGAGAAAGCCTGCTGGGGATTCTGAGAGCAGACTCCAGTGCCAGACCTCAGCATGGGTCAGCCAACTTCCAGGGAAGGCCCCCGCAGAAGGAGTATGGCTTTGAAGGAATCCGGACTGGGCATTCGTTAGCCCAATGACTTGGCTGGCAACATTTGAAGCACGGCCGTGGAGGTATGCCTCTGTGTAGGGGAACGCTAGCAACAACCCTAGTGGTTGGCTGGTGCTTAGGTCCAACTTGTACTTGTGGGATTCTTTTCCTTTTTTCTTTATTTTTTTATTACATTTTGCTTTTTGAGACATTTCAGGGTGGCCTTGTGCTCACTTTGTAGCCCGGGCTTGTGCAACCATACTTGGCAACTTGTGGATTTCTTAAAATGGAGGCAAACACCTGAAGCCAGTAAGGAGCTGTTTATGGGCAACCTCATGCCTACTCTTGGAAAGTTCAAATACCAAATTAACTAACTCCTGCTGTAGAGTTGGAGGGCCTGCCTCCAGGTTCTGCAACTTTTCTGAGTATTCAGGGCAGACTGGGAGATAAAACGCATCTTTAAATTCTGTTTGCCCTCTGCTTCCAGGGCTGTATAGTTTAATTTTTTTTTTTTAGTTTTTCTCCGGTACCGGGAACTGAACTCACGACCTTGTGCTTGCCAGGCAGGCGCTTTGCCGCTGAGCTAAATCCCCAGACCCCAGGGCTGTATAGTAACTGAGGGCAGGCGCCAGGTGGGACTTAAACGAGCTGGATCCTCATCTTTTGTCTGGGAGGTTTCCTTAAACCTGTCATAACTGCCTGCCCTCTATCCTGCCCTGCAAAGCCCTCCCACCAAGCAAGTGACCATAGAGTTACACCTTCTGCAATCAGGGACCGTCTTGCTCATCTAGCTGATTAAAGCGCAGTTTGGAAGGGCCCAGGGATGCCAAAACTCCCTCCTGAAAATTGGGTTCAGGACACCTGCAGTCATCCATGATGTCTTGCTCTAAAGCCTAAACACATTCCCGTTCCGCGGATGAGAGGGTAGAAGAGCCGTGGATATTTAGGTTATCTCAGTGAGATCTTAAGACTGCAAAAGGTAGTGAAATTCTTGGATATTTGTTGAGGTCAAACAGAGGAACCCAGATGCTGACTAATCTGAGTCACACCCAACATGGACCAAGTAACATGAGCCCAAACGATTCCTTCAGTTTCCACCACCTCCTCAAGTGGAAATCCAGGACAAGGAAAGAGGACGAGGCACCAAACTGCAGACTGGGTCACATATGGGACAGAGACTGAACGTAAGGAGGAAGTTTTGCTTTGGAGAGCAGTGCTGGGTACACAGAGGAGACAGGTTTGGGATGGGCCAGGGCTCTTCCAGAGGATGTGACTCAGCTGCACTGGGTATGGCCAGGAGTTTTGCAAGACGAGCAGGGTGCTGGAAGTTGTTCAGCTGGAGGTGGAAGGAAAGATGCTGAGGAAAAGCAAAGCCTGCAGGAAAAAGGTCAGCTAGGTCATCAGGAAGATGCAAAGAAAAACATACGTCTGCATGGGAGCATCAGTACTGGAGGGAAGCAGAAGGGATGTGGATGGAAGGAAAAGAAGAGAATTTGGGAGGGATCGCCTGAAAAATAGGAATATTTCAGAGTGTAAGGAAGGCCCAGACATCAGATCACTTCACTGGCTTACAGTGGTAATTATCCAAACTCACAAAGTGGAAATATCAAACTTGCTGTGGATTGCCCTTAGAGACATTGTCTAGCTTGGAGTGTGGCCACGCTGTGTTACAGAAAACAATAACCCATTTGGTTTTTAGGTCAGGAAAGAAACAGAGGAGTTTGAAACTCCATAGGAGCAAGCCACAGTGGAGGACTGAAGGATTGAGGACCAGTGATTCCAAATTGGAGTACAGAGAGCGCTGCGGGAGAGTGGTTGTGTTTCCCAGTGGACACCTCCAGCTGGGACTCAAGCTGTGAAATGTGAACCATTTGTGCATGGCAAACACCTTTGCAATTGGCCAGGGACTACATGGAAGCAGCCTTGATGGTGGTGATTCTTGAGGCCAGTGCTGGAGTTTTAAAAGCAAGAAAAGGAGGGTGAACCTCTCTCTGATTTAGGGGGAAATGAAAAGCAGAAAAGGGGAAAGGAAGTAGAGGAGAGAGACCACTCTGAGGGGCTTGCCCCACCTGAAACACCTAGCAAGAGCTAGGATGGTAGAAATGGCTTGAGCTCTAGGTCCAAGGTCTGAGAGAAGGTTGTTCCCCACCAAGTGGTCTCAGTAAAGGACTTGAGACCCTCCCTGAGAGAAACCTTTTGGTCTCTTCATCTCCCAGGTTTAGGTGCCAGATGTAAACAAAGAAGCAAGGCAGAGACCTCTGCACAGGCTCCGGGGAAAGCAGCAAGGCTACAGTGTGGTACCTGGGTGCAGGCAGACAAAGGCTAATGAGAGCAAATGTAGGGAACAAAGGGACATTAGAGAGAGAAAGAGGACAGGGACATCAGGCAGGAAGGAGTTAGTAAGCATCACTGGTCAGAGCTCTCTGGCTGTTCTGCATGTCCGTGGGCACATGCCTTGAGGCATCCAGTATAAATTTTGGGTGTCTCCAGATGGCTGAGGACCGGCAAGATTTCCTGCCCTGCCCTTCTCTTTTATGACATCCTGTGTTTTACAAGGACGGGTGCTGAGCTGCGTTTCTGCTGAGAACAATGACCCTACGCACCAGGTTGAGTACTGGGAGAGTCAGGGCCAATTTGAGACTTGTGCTTTCCTCTTTCACCTACTGACTCCCCTTGAGAAATTCTGGTTTTAGTTGTTTTGATAACTGTCACGTGAGTCTGATTTCTCTCTCTCTTTCTGTCTCTCTCTCTCTCTCTGTCTCCATTTGTCTTTCTCATTCCTAGATTCTAAATACAAAGGCAAAAAGCTGCCTTTAGTAATATTTCTCATTAAGTTCTTTAATAAATCTTAATGAGAACTCTTTCAATCATTTTTCCTACACAGAATTCCCTGTTCTTCGTTAACATATTAAAAAATGTATTATATCTTTCCTTTCACAATGTAATGTGCTGATGTATTAGAGGAGAATACAATCAATTTGAAAGCAAACCTCATGTTTATTTTCCACATAGATACACCATGGTTTCACTGTATTTACTTAAAATAGTTTCACATTTATATTCAGAAAATATCAATTTAAATATCAGCTTTTGCCTATCATAACATTGAAAATTGTGCTATGAGTATACAAGACCCATTCTTTACCTATATCTAAGTGGTTTCCATTGCTTGAACAAGAGACATATAGGAACGCTTCCAATCAATAATGTTGACAAAGTGCCCTTCACGTGCATCCTTTCCTATCTCTAAAGGTTAATATTTAATTGTATTAGCCCCTTCACCCTGTAATCTAAACTGCCTCTTCACCCTCGCACACACTGGGCCTCCCCAGAGCAGTGTGCTGAGGACGCCAGCATGGTGCCCGGGAAGTGGGCTTGTGCGGTCCTGCTGCTGCAGCTCTGCTGTGCTGGCTGTGGATCCTGTGGGAAGGTGCTGGTGTGGCCCTGTGAAATGAGCCACTGGCTCAACTTGAAGACTCTTCTTGAGGAACTTGTGAAAAGAGGACATGAGGTGACAGTTCTGACTCCTTCACACAGTTTTTTCGTTGACTACAGCAAGCCTTCTGCATTTCATTTTGAAGTGATCCCTGTACCAACTGACAAAAATGTTTCTGAGAATGCGATGAATGAGTTTATCGAAATAGCTGTGAATGTCATGCCAACACTGCCACTCTGGCAATCAGGAAGACTACTGCATAAATTCTTTCTTCAAGCATCTGAAGATTTGAAATTTCTCTGTGCAAATACAGTCTACAACCATTCGCTCATGAAGAAGCTCCAGGAATCCACATATGATGTATTAATTACAGACCCTGTGATGCCCTGTGGGGAGCTGGTGGCTGAGATGCTTGGGATCCCTTTTGTGAACACGCTAAGGTTCTTCATGGGCTACACCATAGAGAAACACTGTGGGCAGCTTCCAGCTCCACCTTCCTATGTGCCTGTTCCCATGGGAGGACTCACAAGCAGAATGACTTTTATGGAAAGGGTGAAAAATCTAGTGCTTTCCTTTTTGTTTGACTTCTGGTTCCAGCAGTATGACTTTCAGGTTTGGGATCAGTTTTACAGTGAAGCATTAGGTAAGAAACTCGGAATTTTATGTTAAGCTA